GCCAAATGCCTGCAGGTCCGATCTTTTTGTCCACGCCAAGCAAACGTTACAACTGCCATGCTCTAGCCCCGGAGATAGCCTCCTGGTCGAGGAATCGCACGAACCTCGATGGTCATCGCTCACTGTTAACCTCGCAACGGGCTTCGGTACTCGGTTTCTAAGGTCCCGGGGATAGTGGACAAGACAGGGGACAGTGTGTCACTGGTGACTGGTGAAATTGAATCGCGAGTTCTCTCTTCGGGTTCTTCCGATCGAGCCACGAATTCAGGTTTCTCCTCGGCTGAGGACAATCGGTGATCCTGGTACTTTGTTTCGGGCCTGGGGATTTTAGGGAGGATTAGCGGAGTGATTTCGGTGTTGAAGGCAAGCGGAGGATTTATGATTTGACGTTTGGAAAACTTTCTTTTTTTTTCAAGGGGGAGTGGATTTAGAGATTGACGAGACTCGATTTGAATCATATTGATTTAATTCGAATTAAATTACTGTTTGTGACAATTATTTCGCAAGCAGTTTCACGATAATTAATGTCAATCGTTTCGAAGGATTCTCTTCTTCTTTTTTTTTTTTTCTATAAATTGGCTAAGAGTTTCACAGACAGGCAGCTCAAAATTTTCAACCGCGCGGCGTTATTATTTCGTTGAAAATACAATAATTTCAGGAGCTCTTTCGTCGTTTGTTCCGATGGCCACAATGCGCCATTATTTTTCTGTTTATTTGCGCGCGCGCGCGCGCGTGTGTTTTTTTTTATTCTCGCGTTCGCGGCGAAATTAACTTTCAAAATATGCAATATATTCCTCCCCCCCCCCCACCCGCGCCGTTCGTATTATTAATCCTTTGTAGCCGGATTTTCCTTTGCGCCGGCAAAGAACAAAAGCACTATTGATTACAGTTTTCCATTCCAATGGGAGAACTAAGAACTAATTACTGTTACGAACGGATTGTTTGGTGACAATGGAACGGCACAATGATAAAGCTAACAAGCACCGCAATACATAACAGCAAACGCATATATAAAGTAATATTCGGCTTGTTTGAAATGCAGCTGGCGTTTTTTCCGTCGCGCAGCGTGCGTGTACCGTCTATTTTTCCCAATACTGTAAGAGGATATATTTTAATTGCTCTGTATTTAGCGGTGGAATTTGGAATTTTCAATGGAACTTCAATCGACGGCGAAAGTGTCTTTAATTTTCCTTTTTTTTTTTTTTTTGTTTTTTTCTTTCTGTTGAATGATACGGCATTGGAGGAGGAAACGAGGAAAAATTGCCGGACTTTAGCCGGGAACATTCAATTTAATCTGACCATTCGTTCCACCGGATTATATAAAAGTTTCTCCCACCGTGACAGGGAATTGAGTGGATACTTTGGGGGGGGGGGGAGGGGCATGCGAAATATACTTTGAGGAATTCGTGCCTCGAGGAAGATTTCCTCTGTTTCGCTAAATTATAGATGCCATTAATATTCCAAATGATTATTAAACCGTCTTTTGTTAACTCGCAGTTTGTCGCGCGACGATGCATCCGCGCGGTGAGATTTGAAAAACTTAGAGTCTGAGGGAGAAGATAGAGGCACCTCGGAAATAACTGCGTGTGATTTTTACGGGATCGACTAGTTTGGCAGGTTTGTTTCCTTTCATTCTTTCGTTCTCTGTTTTAAAAGATCGCCCGTCCTGCGAGGACGGTTCCTTTAAGGCAACGGGCTCCTTGGGACCGATTGCTCCCCCCTCTGAATCTTTCACGAACGGACGTTCCTTTCATTTGAAACTGTACGAATAAACTGTAGGCAAACAATAATTTTCACGTGTAAGACGCTCGTTCGATTCTTACGTCGTAAATAAGACGAGTGAAATTGCGCCCGTTCGGTTCCCCCGAGTCGATTGTCTCTGTCGATTTTCGCTATTTTGCCAGTGTTGGCTCGCGGAATTTCAGAGACTCGTTGAAAATTATTTCTTTTCTTTCTTTTCCTCTTCGAAGTCCGAAGATATTAAAAGTACAGTTCGATTTATTGTTTGTAAAATGGTGTCAAACACCGCGAATACAGATTTAAATCGAATATAATACTCTGGCTCTCATCTAATCGCAACCTAACCTAATTTCACGTCCACGCTAAATACAGAGAATAGATCAATTGAAACAGAGCGCAAATCTAATCTGGACGTAACGCATCTTAAGCTTCGGCTTAATCCAGGATTAAGAATGTTTACTCGGACTTAAACTGGACAGTAGACTGGTCCATTGTAGACCGGGTTCAATCTGAATTTTAACACGTGTTGTAATTAACCTCGCCAAATTTCCTGTTTCCTGTTACGAATTTCATTGACATTGGGAAAACTGACTTGAAATCTAGGAAGGAAACGATTCAGGTCTAGAATTTTAAATCTAAAAAACATTACGAAAATCTGTACTTGCAATGCGTTGAAACCAGTTTAAATCTTCAAGTTGAAATTAAATTCCATTAAAAAGAAGAAGAAAAAAAAAAAAGAAACAGCTTTCGTTCCATTTGATTTACCGCAGAATTCGAACGAAAAAAACGTTCAGTGTCGGCAATTTTATACACGTGAAACAAGGCAAATTCGAGTGCTCGTTTGAACATTGTTCATTAAAAATCCGCGAACCGAACCCGGAGCGTGTTTCCAATTAATTCGGCACGAAAAAGGTGGAGAAGGAGGAAGAAGAGGGGGAGGGGGAGGGGGCTAAAGGGAGGCAGTACACGCGCGTCGAAGCGTCGGCACGTTAAATGGCCGTGAACAGCACGTTGTCACGTTTCACGATGACCGCAGCGTCGCTTTCGCGCCGGCGACGCGAACGTTTTAATATTTCAAATTAATGTAGATCAACGTACGTGGAACGAGAGGAACATATTTGACCGCGAAAGATTAAATGGCTTCCTGTTACATCGTTATGCTTTCAGCCGGGTACAACGCGCGTTCGCGCGTTCAACTCCCCCCCCCCCCCCC